GAGTGAGTGAGTGAGTGTGAATTCAGCACCTGCAACTTTGACTAAAGTGTCTGCTTAAAGTCTGAAAGATAAATATCAATGTAGCTAAAATGTAGCTCAACCCCAGTSCAATGAAGGGGCCGTGTGCGTAAATAAGTTTGCATCTTTGTGTAGAAAATGTTCAGTTGCAATGAGCAAAACGTGGAAAAAAGCACACAAAGTGATAGTGAAGGAAGTTAAGAGATTTAAATGTTTTTCCATTGAAGTTTTTTTCCTCTGAAACAAAAATTTTGATTTATTTTTTAAAGAAATACCTTAATTTATTTCAAAAGAAGAGCACCGTCTTCCTTTATTGGCTTATTTATGGTTGTGTGTAGGGTCTTTTGCATCCGTCTCACTCGTTACAGAGAGGGGGATTGTGGGTATTTTAGAAATTCAGGCTTTTGATTCTGTCAAAAATATGTAGCACAGAAAGCAGTTGCACTGGACAATGTGAATTAGTTTAAAAAATCAATCAGAGGACTTAAACATCTGCGTTTATTGGCAAGAAAAGGTTTAAGAATCAAGAGTAGTAAAAAGCTGAACATATTAGCTATCTGTAAACAAATGAACCTCAAACTGGACCTTCTCTTCTTCCTGTCCGCCTTTTTATTTGTGCTTTTTGAATTTTCTCTTTAACGCTGTCACTCGTCTTTACCGTCCTCACCTTCTGTTTCCCCCTCAGGCTCTGGACGGTTTCTTCTTTGTTGTCAACATGGAGGGTAACATAGTGTTTGTGTCGGAGAACGTCAGCCAGTATTTGCGCTACCAGCAGGAGGAGCTGATGAACACCAGCGTCTACAGCGTGCTGCACGTTGGAGATCACGCTGAATTCATCAAGAACCTTCTGCCCAAGAGCCTGGGTGAGACCATCAATAACTCTAGTTGGGAACTTATGTTAYGTTTTGTTGGCAGATATTTACCAACAACGACAAAAAAACATTTTTCTAAATTTCTGCACAGTTTTTAAAAAATTATCCAGCCGAAGTTAAGGAACAATACAAAGGGCTCTAATCCACCCAAAAATAAGTTTTTAGGTCATTATGTTAATTTGATTTTAAAAAGATGTCAAACCAATAGAGCTAATCAAAAAAGGGCAAATTGTTTTTAATAAGATTAATAGGTTTTAAAGCCTTCAGGGTTTCCTGTCTTTATATATAATTATGACTTATTTAGTGTTTTTCTTGTAACCTTTTCATACTGGTGCTGTTTTAGATTCACCAACATGGGACACACTTTGTTAAACACTGTGTGACTTTTATTTAAAGGGCCAATATTACGTGTTTCTCAGGCATATATTTAAATTCTATACCATAATAAAGTATTTATGTCACCTTAAGTTATTAAAATGCTGTTTTTTTGTTTAAATAGAAAATAAACTTATCTTCTCGTCACTTCCTCTTCTAAACGCCTTGAAATTGGCCTCTGTCTCTTTAAGAACCTCCTTCCGCTTCTGTCTCGCCCATTTTTGGGGTGGGGGGGCGGCTGCCATGATGCAGTTTACTTGGCATCTGAAAATACATTTCCTCAAAGGTATTTTTAATCTGAAAAAACCTTCACTGAGTGAGGAATAGTGTTGAGAGCTCAGCAGACAGTTTCACTTTGCTCTGTTACTGCTGAGAGCCTGCAGGAGTCATGGGCGGGGTGTGTGGGGTGGGGAGGTGTGCTTCGTGATGAGAAAGTTCGGCTTAAAGACACAACCCAGGGGCGTTCCTGGTACCAAAAGTCGTTTCTTGTCCCCGCCTGTCRTTTTGCTCCTCAGCATGGCTTCATAAAAACACTGCAGGATTTCTCAAACATGATGAATGAGTCRGAGCAAGGCTTTGGRCATGTTTTTATGAGAGTAAAACRTTATAACATGATATAAAACTCAAAAAAGTTGATTTTACATGATATTGACTCTTTAAAATTGTATGAAAACAGTAGGTGGCTCAAATTTTAACATAGTGTTGCCATTAATTCTTTTGTACAAATGCTTAAAATATTTTGGCCACTTTAAGCCCATGTCCTGGTCCGTCTTGTGAGAAACCAAACCCCYTCGTAATTTGTTGTCATTTGTGTTTTTGCAGTGTATAAAACGGTGGTAGTATTTTTTTAATCACCTGAAGGCAAGGTGCTTTTATATGTGTTTGTTTGTAGCATTAGCAAAATATTTCATGATTCAGTGGATGGATTTTATTAAAACTCTCCTAAAGTAACATGATGAGGATTTTGGGTCTACCCAATTCAAGATGGCCGTCAGAGCTAATCAACCTTTGTTAACCCCAAAATAACTCAGTCAGTTTTGTTGTGATAGTAGCCAGGAGTCGTTCCCAACATAAAGCTACATGAGACTGTGCAGAACTTCATCCAGACCCCAACATCRAACGCCTTGTCCCTTCTTGGAATAAGATTATTTTAGCCTAAATCTCAGGCAGGAAAAGTTGATGGGAGATATAATTCTTTAAATTCTTTTGACTTTTTCTCTGTCCTCCAGTCAATCATCGCAACGCTGATTCGTCCAGCAGGAACAGCCACACTTTCCACTGCCGCATGCTGGTCAACCCTCATGCTAACGGTGAAGCTCCGCTGGTCCCCGAGCAGCCGGACGCTGCACAGCAGAAGTATGAGACCATGCAGTGTTTCGCTGTCTCTGAACCAAAGTCTATCAAGGAAGAGGGGGAAGGTAAACTTTTTGTTTTGGTGACTTTTAGTTCTCACATTCCTTCTCTCTTTTTTTATCKTTCTTCTTCTGTCTCCACTTCTATTTGGAGTTTTCACGTCTCTGTACTTGTTGTGCCTCCCATTGTTTGGCTTCTCCACTCCGTGGTGGATTTTATTCTGTAATATTCTCCATCTTTGCAGTTTATTCTCGACTTCCTGTCACTTTTTCATCAATCTTCCTGGCCCTGCCCTCCAAGTCTCTTGTGTCCTGTCCTCCTTCCGTCACCACTTCTCTCTACTTTCCCTCCCCATCCACTGAGAGAGACTAATTAGTGCGTGGCACTTTGTCAGCTTCCCATCTAATCAAATCTCTCACACACACACACAAGGGAGAAGAATGTGTCTGCCATTCTAATTTTAGACGAGTGACAACCAGATATTTTGCCAATCTCATCCCCGACACGAGGAGGATATCTGGTGGACAGATTGAGGGCTGCAGGTTGAAGCTGCAGTTTATGTTGACGTGAAGGAGACGGTGGACATGAGAGCACAAGTTCAGTAAAAAGGACCTGGCAGGGCACTTGAGATCTTATCTGAGGTCAAAAACATTTGTTATATCCATCCATCCATCCATTTTCTTCCGCTTATCCGGAGTCGGGTCGCGGGGGCAGCAGCTTCAGAAGGGAGGCCCAGACCTCCCTCTCCCCAGCCACTTCTTCCAGCTCCTCYGGGGGAACTCCAAGGTGTTCCCAGGTCAGCCGAGAGACATAGTCCCTCCAGCGTGTCCTGGGTCTTCCTCGGGGCCTCCTCCCGGTGGGACGTGCCCGGAACACCTCACCAGGGAGGCGTCCAGGAGGCATCCTTACCAGATGCCCGAGCCACCTCAACTGGCTCCTCTCGATGTGGAGGAGCAGCGGCTCTACTCTGAGTCCCTCCCGGATGACCGAGCTTCTCACCCTATCTCTAAGGGAGAGCCCAGCCACCCTGCGGAGGAAACCCATTTCAGCCGCTTGTATCCGGGACCTCGTTCTTTCGGTCATGACCCAAAGCTCATGACCATAGATGAGGRTAGGAACGTAGATCGACCGGTAAATCGAGAGCTTCGCTTTCTGACTCAGCTCTCTCTTCACCACGATGGACCGGTACAGCGCCCACTTTACAGCAGACGCTGCGCCAATCCGCCTGTCGATCTCCCGCTCCGTTCTTCCCCCATTTGTGAACAAGATCCCCAGATACTTAAACTCCTCCACTTGAGGCAGGACGACCCCCCTGACCCGGAGAAGGCACTCTACCCTTTTCCGGCTCAAGACCATGGCCTCGGATTTGGAGGCACTGAGCCTCATCCCGGCCGCTTCGCACTCGGCCGCGAACCGCTCCAGCGAGAGCTGCAGATCTCGTTCCGATGAAGTCAACAGGACCACATCATCCACAAAAAGCAGAGATGCAATCATAAGGCCACCAAAACGGATCCCCTCAACACCTCGGCTGCRCCTAGAAATTCTGTCCATGAAAGTAATGAACAGAATCGGTGACAAAGGGCAGCCTTGGCGGAGTCCAACTCTCACCGGAAACGAGCCCGACTTACTGCCGGCAATGCGGACCAGACTCTGACACCGGTCGTACAAGGACCTGACAGCCCGTATTAAAGGGCCTGGTACCCCATACTCCCGGAGAACCCCCCACAAGGCCCCCCTTGGGACACGGTCGAACGCCTTCTCCAAGTCCACAAAACACATGTAGACMRGTTGGGCGAACTCCCATGYACCCTCCAGGACCCTGCTGAGGGTGTAGAGCTGGTCCAGTGTTCCACGACCAGGACGAAAACCACACTGCTCTTCCTGAATCYGAGGTTCGACTATCCGACGGACCCTCCTCTCCAGGACCCCTGAATAGACCTTACCAGGGAGGCTTAAGAGTGTGACCCCCCTGTAATTGGAGCACACCCTCCGGTCCCCCTTTTTAAACAGTTTTTGTAACATTTGTTATATCTGCACAAAAAATGTATAGATTTTTAATTTGCTATACAGGGCTTTGTGGTAAATGTGATGGACTGTAGAGATGAAATGAAGTTGGCCTGCGGTAGGTATTTACCATCGACCGTCCTGTTGTCAGTTACGTCATCACACCTGTGTCAACATGGAGACAACTGAACAAGAGGAGTTAGAAATATTCTGAAAATAAATGAAGAAATATAACGTTTTAAAACACGTATAGAGAGAATAAATCCTCAATTTCCCTCTCCTGCTGTAGAAAAGTTACGTCGACTCGCGGGATCATTTCCTCCCTCCCGCTGCACGTCACGCAAAGCGAAGCTTTAACAACCGTAGTTTTTTTACACCCAAGTTGTCGGAGAAAAAACTTGTTTTTTTCTGTATTGTTACCCACAGAGAGGACAAAAAGATGTGGACGTTTGTTCAGTCATAAACCCATCTAGCTAACGTAACAGTTCTGCTCTGAGAGCAGCAGAGCAGCAGCTGATAAGTTCAGCAGGTTAGAAGCTCCTTGTATGGCAGGCAGATATTACATTTATTTGGCTTCACCACACTTACATTCCAGTTATCTGAAATAGTTTTATGACAGAACTATGTGCAGCTTAAGGTCCTGTCACACTAACATTTTAGGTAACATATGCCAACTTAGAATTTTTTATGACTAAATTTACTTGAACTACTGGTTATAACATCCACTTTATTTTGATTTTGTTGAAAATTTGAGAAATGTTTTTGTTTGTTTTGCAATATATATAAAACATTCTTTCTGTTATGTTCATTTGCACTACAGCAAAAATGCTGGGTTTGATCATGATTACGGTTTTCTGCTAAATAAATGCACTAAAAATTACATTCTCTTAGCTTTTTATGGTAATTTTCTACCACGATATATACCGTTACCGTGAAGGGGTTCAATTTATACCGTGATATGAATTTGAGGTCATACCACCCAGCCCTAACATATACTGATATTTAGGGTTTAGTTAGTGATTGCATTAGACATTGCTCTGTATTTCTGATGAATTTTTTTATATTGAGCTTACAAATGAAATAAAATAAGAGTTTTTTTGTGTAAGTGCAGAGCAGAAACCAGGCCAGCCTACAGGAGAGGGTCTCACCTCAAACCACTCACCTAAAGGGGAGAAACCAACTCAAGCTAACACCAGTGTTTCTGTGCAGTAAAATACACCAACACATTTATGTATGCATTTATAAAAGTCTACTGTATTTTTTTTTTAATCTGACATGCAGATTTCCAGTCCTGTCTCATATGTGTGGCACGAAGAGTTCCTGTCAAAGAGAGGCAGGTGATGCTGGCGCATGAGAGCTTCACCACGCGGCAGGACCTCCAAGGTATGTCTGCTGGAGGAGACTCTGCTGTCAGCAGGGAGTCGTGGAATCTGCTTATTAAATTACCTACATGCTATAAACAGTTTGTCTCATTTTAAAAACATCCAAATTAATTCAAGCAAAACCAAGACTAAACTCCAAACTGAAAAAAATGAAAAATGGAGTCCAGAAATAAATGTTTGTTAAGTGATTTCTCTTCCAGAGGTTTGATCTAATTTTAAAATAATAATGTGTAACCTGTATGTCCAGGTAAGATCACTTCACTGGACACCAGTGTGCTGCGGGCGTCGATGAAGCCGGGCTGGGAGGACCTGGTTCGGCGCTGCATCCAGAAGTTCCACCTTCAGACTGACGGGGACATGTCCTTTGCCAAGAAACACCATCAAGAAGGTGAACAGARCCTTAGTTTTACATTTTCTGTCTGTTAAACTGTAGACTCAGACAATTCTAGTGTTTCATTCAGGCATCATTTTGAATAAATGTTGTTTTTCTTGGTATTTTTCAACAATTTTACGTTGAGAGTTGTGAAATTTAAAAGTTATTTTTTTATTCACTTTACACTGTTTTATAGAATCTTTTAAAAAGTGTAATTTTACTCTGTCTTGGGTTCTATCCAGTGTTGAAGAACGGCCACGCTCTCAGTCCTCTGTACCGGTTCTCCCTGACAGACGGCACCATCGTCTCGGCTCATACGAAGAGCAAACTGGTCCGATGTTCAGCCACTAACGAACCACAGCTCTATATGTCCCTGCACATCCTGCAGAGGTACTACTCTTTCCTTAAAAACACATAAACTCTGCAGTCCACTGAGTCCAAAGGCTCTGGAGCATTAACCTGGAATATTACTACCAGCAAGCAATGCAGGGACAAATTACTTAAAGGGGAGGGGGGGTGTTATGCAAAACTTTTAAACTTTATCACGTTATGATGTCCCTCATCAAAAACATACCCAGAGTGATGCTTTGACTCATCCATGCATGTWTGAGAAATCCTTGAATCTCCTGTAGTAGCCATGTGGAGCTGCGTAAATGCTGGCTGGTACAAAGCTCCACCTACTTACACAAAGCTCCTCCCTGAAGCTCAGTTTGCGACCAGGCTAGTCCCGTTGAGATCTCAGATTCTCAAGGGATCCCCCCAGGGTCAGAAATTGGGACAGCAACCCGTTTTTGTGGTTTCCTGTCACTGAATTAATACAAAAATATAAATCAAAGTTCAGCTGTTTTAAAGTTGTCAAATACCTTGAACAGCGATTCAAGTTATTTCTTCTTACATCTGCCAATAATCAATAAAAACATGATTCTTTGCGTTTCTTTCAGGGACAATACTGGGAGCCTGACTGCAGACATGTCTGGTGGCCAGGATGTGGGAAAGTCACTGACCCCAACCAGTCTGAGTGGGACCTTCCCTTCACCTGACGCCAGTGTGACCAGCAACACCCATCACTCCACATCAGCCCCCAGCACCCCAGGACGTGTTTTTGGAGCCATACCAGGACGGGCGACGACTCCTCAGGGAAGCTGCCATTCTCTCAAACTGGACAGCCCTTCAGCCCAGGGAAGCCCAAGCGTCACCTCAGGGGCCCAGAGCACCATGATGTCGCCTCGCCATCGCCAGAGTCCTAGCACGGCGGCTAGCAGCAGCACTTCAAGTAGCCCTCACCTCCTCCAGCATCCGCCCGGCTCCTTCTCTCCTGCCGGCCTCCACTCGTCACCGTCTGTGTGCAGCAGCACAGGAACCAGCCAAGGCTTTAACTCCCTTAGTGCGCTGCAGGCTCTCAGCCAGGGCCACAGGATTTCTCCGGGGCTCACCGAGGTACCACGTTCAGAGTCACCGGACCAAAAACTACCAACCCTTCAGAGTCCCCTACACAGCACTAGCAACGGCACAACACAACTTCCCAAGAGCAATCCCAGTTTAGAGGCTGATTTATTYGGACCTTTTGAAGAGCAGGAAGATTTCCTGTCGTCTCACACCCAGGATGRTGAAAAGGACGACGAGAAAGACGGTGATCTGGACAGCTTGGCAGGTAACGGAAACCTGGGAGAGCTTGGTGACGCGTCGAACCGCAATCTGAACACCAAGGGCCACACCAAGCTGCTCCAGCTCCTCACCACCAAGTTAGAACCCTCTCCCAGCTCACCATCGGGGTCCGTGGGGGACGAMCAGAACTGTAAAGACCAGCCGTGTGGTGTGGCCGGGGCAGGACTTAACAACCAGTCAACTTCATTAAAAGAAAAACATAAAATTCTCCACAGACTGCTGAAGAACAGCACTTCGCCCGTGGAGTTGGCCAAGCTAACAGCTGAGGCTACCGGGAAAGACCCCGTTGGTTCAGAGTTGGCCTCTGGGGACAGCATGGCTGCTCTGAGTGAACTCTGCATAAAACAGGAGCCGGGGAGCCCTAAGAAGAAGGACAATGCTCTGCTTCGCTACCTTTTGGACAGGGACGATAACGGTATTCTCGACAAAGCCATCAAGATGGAACCAGTGGACGGACTGAAGCTGYCCAACATTAAGACGGAGAAGCAAGACGCAGGTTTTAATTTGGCGGAGCAGGTAAGAATTTCATCAAGTCATCAAGATAAACGTCTTGTAAATCCCACAAAGGTTAATGTTTCAGTTTTATGACTTCTAATTCTGAAAAGGTGAACATATCATCACTCTTGTATAAAGTACCAGGTGATACTTGAGTAAAAGTACAAGACTTTTACTTTGGTAAAAGTTAAAGTCCCCTCTAAGAATWTTATTTGAGTAAAAGTCTTAATGTACACTCACCGGCCACTTTATTAGGTACACCTGTCCAACTGCTCGTTAACACTTAATTTCTAATCAGCCAATCACATGGCGGCAACTCAGTGC